AGTTGTTTTCATTCCAGGTGATGTGATGGATCAGATAAAACCACTAACTTATGCAACAATACTATAGGTAAAGCTTTGGAGCAACAGAAAGAGGCATTCACACAAACAACTTCATTATTAGGGAAAGATAGTTCTTTAATTGGTACAAGTCTCTTAAACATTTAGAAACAAGATTCCCAAATTTTTTGTGTGTGTGTGATTCCTCCATGAATAAAATCAAATAATTAAATAATTGTTAAATAAAAGTATTTAGTTAGGGTTAGAGTTGGGCAAAACAAATATCCAATTCTGTTAAATGTTCACCTATATTCCATGCAGTTCTGAGATTTTGCAAAACCACAACTGGGCTTGTGCAAACAAAACAAGGAAGAAAGGCAGAAAGTGGTTTTTCCGTTCTGCATTTCACAAAGATGACCCTGTTTTTAAACAATTTGTGCCTTCCTTCCTCTGAATTGCTTATGATTCCACAGTTGAGAACTCCTTAAGATATAAATAATGCAAAATAAGAAAGATTATAAATTTTGGGATTATTTCGATGCTGATGGTGCTTGTGATAAATCAACTGATTTAGCCTCAAAGTAAAATGTATTGATGTATTCTATGAGCTCAGTGATTTACATTTGTTTAGATTTTTCTCTTTGTACAAAGCTTTCCTTACTTTTTTTTAAGTGTACTGATTAATTAATGAATGACTGAATTCTGGTATTATGGCTTGTAAAATGTACATTTTTCTCTGGCAGCTTTCCAGAGAAAAGCAAGTATCTGTTCAAGTTAGCTGTGCTAGAATATGCATGTGTTAATCAGTGGAAATACCTTTCTGCTAACCAAGCTGGAATTTTTTATAGCAGTTATAATAGAAATTACTCTAGCTTCACCTCCCATTAACGAAAGATTAATGTGAGTGGTTTTCTCAGTTTCTCTTGTTAGCGCGTAAGAAACTATTGCAGCATTTTACATTATGAAGATATGTCTTCTAATGAAATACTTGACAATCTTTATTACTCTCCTGGAGGATAGACCAATAAAGGGATGACATTGTTCCAATATGTTTTGTAAACATCCAATTTATTTTTGTATAAAAGTCAAGAAGGGGACATACTAATGTGCTACTACTGTAGCATAAGTGATAAAAAAGAGATGGGGTTTGATCATATGGCTATAGCATTCGTTGTTTCTTTCTTTTTAAAAAACCTCCCCACATTTCCCCAGCTTTGAGTGCACACTCCTAACCAGAGCACTTGAGAATGTTATTCTCAGTATGGTTGTCTAATGAAACCTATGTACAAGTACTTTACTTTTGTTCTTGTACTTGCTTATGTTTGTAAGTTGAATTGACTATTCAGTGGTTAAGATCAACCCTGGCTGCAGTTTGATAGGTATGTGACTTCTATTAATTGGATTGTTAAGCCATAATTCCAATACAAATAAAACAATGCCAACTAAAATTAACTGTGTGTTCTTACATTCATTGCTTGGAAGGTATGGAGTTAGCCTAATTTGTGTGGCAGCTAGGAAAGTTGTAAATGTGGAAAATCTTATCTTTAAAATGTTCTGTTAAATAAACCCTGTTTTTCTGGAAGCCATATAATTCTATGAAGATGCTCCTGAGGAACATGGAATATCTCTAAAACATAGCTGACATAGGGGACGCTTGGGAGACTGATGGATATGGAGGATGAATTGTTCCAAATTCTCTTTTATCTTTAACTTCTGCTGCACTATCCTAACTTATCATGTCTGTGCTGGTTAGTTTGGGAATGAGAGCTGTCCCCTTAAGGGAATACCTCATGGGAAATGTAGTTAATGCCTCTTGGGAGATGTAGTTCATGTCATGTGGTCACACCTGTACTCCTGATTGGTCACTGAATTGACCTCTGGTTGGATTGGGGGGAGTTTTGTTCATTCTTACTTGAACCCCAGCAACGAGCTGGAGTCTTTCCTTGCTGTATCATTATGGGATGAAGATAACTATCTTTTCACACTATGAAGACGACAATGCAAAGATTGGACATTAGATGAATATCAACATAACTGTGAGTTATACCTTGAGGATGCCTGATATAAGCCAATAAAGAAACTTTGTATGGAAGCCTTTGTAGTGTTTAGCTCCTTATCCCAGGTATTTTGGGAAGATAAATATTGTCTGGGACAAGATAATGTCACTTCTTTCTTGTTCAGGATTCCTCCCTTCCTCCTCCCTGTTTCTCTCTCCCTCTCTCTCACACATACACAAACACAAACTTTTTTTATTTTTAGGGCTGAAGCTAACACATATGCAGAACTGTTGCAGGAACTGGGTAATATGTCTGGTCTAGAGAAAAGAAGAACTAAGGGTGACGTGATAGCAATGTTTCAATATTTGAGGAGCTGCCAGAAAGAAGTGGGGTGTCAACCTATTTTCCAAAGCACCAGAAGGGCAAGTCAAGAAGCAATGGATGGAAAGTGAACCAAGAAAGAAGCAACCGAAAACTAAGGAGAAATTTTCTGGCAGTAAGACGTATCAACTTGCCTTCAGAAGTTGTGGGTGCTCCAACACTGGAGGCTTTTAAGAAGGGACTGGACCACCATTTGTCTAAAATGGTACAGGGTCCCCTGCTTGAGCAAGGAGTTGGACTAGACCTCCAAGGCTCCTTCCAGCTCTGTTATTCCATTCTATTCATTTACTTTCTCAATATTTCAGCTCTTCCTTCAGCTCTTCCCATTCCCAGACTCCCACTTCTTCATTTCATTATGTGAAATCACCCTTCTCCTGCAATCACTCTCAAGCATCCTGGCTCCTCAACAGTGGAAATGCAGGGTGCAGGAAAAAAAACATTACAATGCACGATACAATTTTATTTTATTGATTTAATCCATTTTAATTTGTTTTTTTGGATTGAGATTTACTTACTAAAAGTATATTTGTGAAATCAAGACATTAAGTGGCCATAGGTCATTACTTTCACCACCCAGCTAAAAGTAATTTAAACATAAAAATGAATCACAGGCATCAGCAAAGAGTTTTATAGGCACCTGGGGAAATTACTTGCAAGCGCTCCAGGTGTGCCCTAGTTTCTGTTTTTAGGAGTATCCATGTATTTCACATTTTACTTCACAGAAGTAGTGCATCAGTCTCTAAAATCCCTTCTGATTTTTTATTATTATGTAGGACTTAAGTTACAGCACAATGAGTTTTAATGGGATTAAAACAATGTGTTTTAATCACAACAATATAAAGTCTGCGGTACAATTAAAATTAAGTAACAATAAACAGCCCACCAAATTATATCACATTCATAAAACCAGGCAAAAGCAATAACCATAGAGACAACTATTTTTAGATGAACCAGGAACAGTGGTAGTGAAGAAACAAGGGGTCATTTATATAAATAGCTGTCACTTAGGATATTATTCTGCTCTGCCCAATAGTGAATACCACTACCACAAAGCTGACTATATTTCTTGGGTGCTCTTGTTTCTGTGGCTATACATTCTATTTCATAAATCTTCCAAATTCACATTATTTGTAAGGAAACTATTTTAGCACTGACAATGTTACCTAGTTGGGTAGTGAAACATCTGCAAGAAAACAGCCAAGCTCAGAGAGTGCCAAGGACCCTAACTCATATGGTTTGGTCTTGTCCTGTTATTGTCACAGATTTGGGATGACATTGTTAGACTTGAAACTATGTAACTTTGTTTTTGTTAATCATATGTAACATGTATGATTTGCTGCATGCTAACGATATATATGTTCTTTGTCAATGAAACATATAAATTGCCACAATTTAGGTAGTATGTTCTTTTGGTATTTGGAACCTATCAAAATATGAATAATTACAAACCTGGGGCTAAGGATTAGCTAAAAAAATTACAGGACAACACTAGAAGAAACCTAAAACAAATTTGCAGCTATGGATTATTGAACGTATTGTCTGCCTATATTTAAATTGGAGTTTGGTTTTATTCTTTTTAAAAGGAGAAAGAAATCTTTTGAGCAACAGGATTAAAATGTTTGGAGTTGTTTATAATAGAATTTGCTAGGAACCCTTTTTTCTTTTAATGTTATTACTAACAATACTTTTTTAAAAATGACCATTACATTTGAAATTACAGGATACTGTTCCGTTCTGTTCTACGCCTGTATACTTTCCTCTTAAATTAGCCTAGTACCTAATGTTGATTTAAAAGGTTTATTAGGAGAATATTCTAGCATGGAGAATTGACAAGCTGTTTTATATGTAGTTAGCTATCCCGTCTACTGTCAGGGCTGGCTAGGGAATTCTGGGAGTTGACGTTCATATAATTTCCAGCTGCAAAGATGAAAAAAACAACAACCCAGGTCTACATTAACTGCTAGCAACCGTCTCTCTGGCGATTCATCCTCGGGTAAAACTAGTTTTTCCATTTATCTTAGAAACATGAGGAGCGTCTTTTACAGTTGAGTAGCCCTGGAGCTAAACGGAGATCTATTATCAGAATCGATCCCAGCTTGGAGCTAGCTCACTTTCCTTTTATATTCTTGAGCAGCCTATTTTTAAACTGGTTTAACAGAACCAGCGTTTCGGTTTGTTTAATGGTTTTGTTTTTTTGTTTTTGCATTTTATCTTGGGCAAAAATTATTCAGCATTTGCAGCGTTAATCTTACAATTTTTAGCAACTCCTTTGCTGTTTTAATCCTATCGTTAAAGGAAAAAAAAAATCAGCAGGGCGCTTTAAACAAATTGCGACTTCTAAAGACTCCAGCATTTAAAACGCAACATACGCTCACATGTCTTGGGAGTACCAAGGCGAGGCATTACGGTCAACGTAGTTTGCGGTAGCAAAGCTTACCCCTTCGTGGCGGAACTGCAATGCAATACTTCCTGCTGGCGGGAATTGTTGGGAGCTGCTGCAAGGCTAGTAAGTGGGAGGGGTGCGTTTGACTATCGTTGATATTGAAATCACTACGTCCAGTGAATGGTCACATCTTCTCAGCTCTCTATATTTAACTTTTGACTCTGCCCTATTTGTTGCGTCTCCGTGTTTTGCTGTCTTTGCAAGCAGAGCCACGCTTTTCAGCATTTCCCGGATTAAAAGGTTAGAGGGTGATCAAGAAGTTTTAATACCCTTTACTTTCGGATTAAATATCCCCTTCTGCTCCCCCTCCCCTTTCCCGACCGTCGCCTGATGTTGGTTTATATCCATAGCTTGTTCTAGAATCCCTTAGTTTCATTTTTAAAAAAACCTGAAAAACGTTAACACGGCTTCTTTTTAAAGATACTGTTTACTTTGCAACTCTAAAGACGTACACGAAGATACTGCATTGCATTTACCATTTTATTCTAAATAAAAATGGTGGAGGGTTGCTTTGGTAGTCTTATAGTTTGGGTGAGGTGAGGATTTTTGTTGTAAAGAAACGCAATGCCACTTGCCGTTTGAGAGCTAGAACAGTTGCAGCTGTTCATAGATACTACTACTGACAGCAAGTTCGAGTAGAGGGAGAATATTCAAAAGGCTTCTAGTTATTTAGGGTTGTTTTCATATTTCAGTCATTAAGGCCTTCTTAGGTGAGCCAGTAATAATGAAAAAGCCTAAAATCTAAACCATAGTGAAAGATAAAATGATATATAATAAGTTTGAGCTATGTCTGAGTAACTGCTAGCTTTGGTATGTGATAGATCATTTCTCTCTCCTGCAGCCTCGCCTGCCCTTATGAATGAATAAGATGACTTGTTCCTTCCATAATCTGGTTAGGAAACTGGTAATTTACCACTATTTTTATAACTCTTGTTTTTTTTTTTCAGTTATGGCATGCAGGATGGTGATAGCTTTGGCATGTCAAGTGGGATATAGAAGAACTTCAGCTCAATATTGTAGGATTTATTCAACTTATGTGGGGAGAATGAGGTATGTATGTAATTAGCCCATGGGGAGTCTAAGGCATAGGCTGGTTCTATCAAATCTTCTTAAAATAAATTAGCTAATGAAAAATTAAGAATTATCGAACATTATAGTGAAGTTTTACAAAATTTGTGAATATAGCAGTAGATTTGGTCAAATACTTTGGGCTGTCCTGCATTTATTTACAGAGAGCCCTATTGAATATAATCATTTCTTTCCATGTGCAGGAACTCTGCCAATCCATGCTGCCCTCTTGTGTCTCCACAATACTGTGCAGCTCTTTGCAAGATGAAGTTTAATTATTTTTTAACTATATAAAATGAAAATGAAAAAGCAGTTATGCATCATCAGAAAATCTCTAGAACCGTAAAGCCTACAAACTTGAAATTTGGCATGTATTCTTTCTCTTGGCTTCTAGGTGTTTCCTAAGAAAGGATTTTTCAAAATGACCCTCAGAGCATTAGTATTTCCTATATTATTAACAGGCTCTGATGCTAAGGCTTCTACTCCCCCTCCCCCACCTGAAAAGAAATCTCTTTTAAATGCAAAACACAAGCAGAGGAGTTTCAGTTTCAGTTTCACAGCAGCAACCAGCTTTATTACAGAACAGTTGAGCTGAGCCACACCCCAGGCTCCTTGCTGTCTCCTCCTTGCTCACACAGCAAATACTGTTTGACTTTCCAAACAGCCCTCTGATACTAAGGAGTTCTACTCCCCTTCCTCATCTGTTAAAGAAATTTGTCCCAAATGCAAAACACAAGCGGAGAAGAGGAGTTCCAGGTTTACTTTCACAGCTGCAAGCACTTTTACTACAGAACTGTTGAACTAAGCCATGCCCTGGCTCCTTCCTGTTTCCTTCTTGCTCACACAGCAAATACTGTTTGAGTTTCCAAACACCCCTCAACTCTCTCACACACTGACAGGATGCTAGCCAGATGAATACCAATGGATGCTGGTAGGCAGAAGCAGAATTTTTCCCCTTATTTTCCTCCTCAGTTCAGATGAATCTGTTCCTTCTACTGTAACACCAGTTAAAGGAAAAAGAGGCAAAAAACGCAGAAAAAGATTTACAGATGCTATTAGATTCATTATTCCAGATATAAGGTTGTTGATCTCGAACCTCGGTTACTTGTGCCTGGTGCCATGCTCTAAAGTGGCAGGATGAGAGTCCCGGGATGTGCTGCAGTAGCGATAAAGTCGACCTCCCTCCCCTTCAGCCCTCCCCTGAACCCTTACACAGCCTTCTCACCCACCAGCATCCAATGGCAAACCACTTACTTTCTGCTGTCTGGAAGTACAACGGATGCTTCCAAATGACGTCTTTCGGAGCCAGAGAGGTGAAAGAGGGAAATGTCATGCCAACATTCAAAGTACGGGGCGGGTCTACCACAGGATAGGGAATATCATAGCGGGACCTCAGCAGCAGCCTTCATTTCTCCAGATATGCTTAGTTGGTGATGATGACAATGAGAGGGACATCCATTGTGGAATCTACATATATAAAAGCAAAATACCACTCATGCATCATCACAAAATCTCCAGAACCTTAAAGCCTACAAACTTGAAATTTGGCACGTATGTTTCCTCTTGACTTCTAGGTGCTCGCTAACAGGATTTTTTGAAATGACCATCAGAGTATTAGTATATCCTATATTGTTATTAACACGCTCTGATGCTATGGAGTTCTGCTCCCCCTCCCTACCTGAAAAGGAGTCTCTTCCCACTGTTAAGCCAAGCCCAGGCTTCTTGCTGTCTCCTTGCTCACCCAGCAAATACTGTTTCAGTTTCCAAACAGCCCTCAACTCTCCTCCCCACCTGAAAAGAAATCAGTTCTAACTGCAGTTGAGCTAAGCCACACTCAGGTTCCTTGATGTCTCCTTGCTTACACAACGAATACTATTTCAGTTTCCAAACAGCCCTCAACTCCCTCACACACTGGCAGGACACTAGATGAATACCGATGGATACTGGTAGGCAGTGGCAGAATTTTATTTTCCTTATCTTCCTCCCAAAAAATTCAGCCCGACCACATCGTTTCATAGCAAAGCGTGGTTATCATAGAGGTGGATTTATAGAGGTGCCTGATGTGACTTTGGCTGATGTACAGCTGAAATAAGCCGTAACCAACACTTCCTGCCCCCTATATAGCATTAAAAAGGAACAATATGTAAAACGATGAGCAAATGTGATAATTAGTCAACAAAAGGACACTTAATTTGGACCCTAATGTTGGGGGGAAAGCCACATCTTGATGGAATTTTTAAAGTTTTCAGAGTTGGGGCTTATCATATACAGGTAGCCTTCGACTTACAATAGTTAATTTAGTGACTGTTCAAAGTTACAATGGCACTGAAAAAAGTGACATGACTATTTTCCACACAACTATTTTAATATCCCCACGGTCACGTGATTTATATTTGGATCCTTGACAACTGGTTCATACCTATGACAGCTACAGTGTCCCTGGAGTCATGTGATCCCCTTTTACGACCTTCTGAGGAGCAAACTCAATGGGGAAGCCAGATTCACTTAACAGCCGTGTTACTAATTTAACAACTGCAGTGATTCACTTAAGAAGCGTGACAAGAAAAGTCATAAAATGGCAAAATTCACTTAACGAATTTCTCCCTTAGCAACATAAATTCTGGGCTCAATTGTGGTTGTAAGTTGAGGGACTACCTGTATAGGGGTGGAGACTATTCCTACAGTCACACTTCCTAGTGTTCATATGGTCACAATATTTAAAGGAGAACCTGGAGCGTGCTTTCCCTGTGGGAATGTGTAGAGCAGGAGTGTCACTCGATTTCATTGAGGGCCGCATCAGGCTTGTGTTTGACTTTGGGGAGTTGGGGTGGGCGTGGCCAGCTCAACATCACTCGTATCGTGGGTGCCTGTGGTGATCTGAGCGCTCTGTCAGCAAAAACGGGCTCTCGAGCTCTGTTTTCGGCTACAAAGGCTTCTTGCAACCCCCTGTAGGTGAAAACGGAGCTCAGGAGGGCCACCCGTGGCTTCCTGAGCTTTGTTTTTGCTGGCAGAGGCACCGTGGGCTGGTCCTTCGCTGTTCCTAGAAAGGCCCCATGGGCCAGATCTAAGCACCCTGAAGACTGGATCCAGCCCTCAGGCCTGGAGTTTCACACCCCTGTTATAGATGTTTTTAGGAGAGAGGCAGTCTCTCAGGTAACCTGGATCTGTGGCCTGTAGAGCTTTAAAATGGATCCAGCACCTTGCATTGTGCCCAGAATCTAGAGAGAACCAGTGTAACTTGCAGATGGCATAATGACCCACACCATTGCATTCTGGACCAACTGGAGCTTCTGAATAGCCTTCAGCGAGAGTCCCATGTACTTCAGCTGCTGCACCAGAGAAACACTACAAAAGATAGTTTGCAGTATTACTTCGTGAGCTGAGGATGGATAGTCCTGCCTCATCTTCTCACAAAGTCCCTAGGATTCTTCTCTCTGTCTTGAAGCCAAGACAGCTTTGCCATGATTTTCTTTGCAAACTAGAAAGTTGCTGCTCAGATGCTGAGAGAATACAAAGAACAGCAACGAAAGCTTGCTCTGATGACTTGGCAGCCATAGACAGCAACTGTAAGAAACAAGAGTATAGTTTTGAACAGACATTAACAGGATTAAATAGTTTCATGTAGCAAAGCTGAATGAATGCAGGGGAGATTGTTTCATCTATTCACAAGGTGCTCCTTCTAATCTTTTCCTAATTACAGATACATGTTCAAGCTGAAAGAAGATGATGATGCTTGTCGGCAGGCCTATAATTCCGGAACTTTCTTCCTGTTTTACAACTTCTCTCCCTTCGTGCAGCGAAAAGGAAAAGCGTTAGTAGCTCCAAAGTTAAAGACAGCAGGTTGTTACCTTCTATATTACTCAGACATAATTTTACTAGATCAATGCTGATATTCCTGAGCTGTGCTCTGTGTATAAGAATCATGGATTTGGAAAGGACCAAATCTCCAAAGCATCAGAGGCAGGGCAAGAAGGAATGGATGGAAATTAATCAAGGAGAAATCCATCCTAGAACTAAGGAGGAATTTCCTGACTGTTAGAACATTTGATCAGTGGGACAATTTGCCTCCAGGAGTTGTGGGTGCTTCAACACTGGGGGTTTTCAAGAAGAGATTGGACAACCATTTGTCTGAAATGGTATAGGGTTTCCTGCTTGTGCAGGGGAATGGACTAGCAGACCTCCAAGGTCCCTTCCAGCTCTGTTAAAGTGTCTTGAGAGGTGGCTTTGTACCTTCTGGTTGACCACAATCAATGATGTAGAAACATCATTTCGATTCATTTGGTTCCATCAAGTCTCTCTTGCGATGCTAGGAAGTTTCTACCTTGAAGTAAAGAGCAGGGGCATCGTTAATGCTACAAGATATCAAAGATGTCCTTGTTTTCTGCTTGCAAGCAACCTGGGATGATAGCGATTTATGAGATTAAGGGAAAGGCGTTGGAGATCTTGAATAGAAAATGAAGTCTCAGTGCTCTTGTAAAACTGCAAGCATTGGATTCTTTTGGGAATCACTTTTATTATAATGTTGCTTTCTATTCATCCAGATTTGTGATATAGCATCTGTGCATCTGTTTTAGACTTGCTATATTAAATGGCAAATACGTTAATGAATCTTTACGGGGTGGTGGTTGCATCTTTTAAGGTATCTCCTTATTCTAATATCTTTCAGAAATAAAAAGACTTTTGCAGAAGTTTCAGAAGAGCGAGAAGATGCTAGAGGAATCCATGCTGGTGGGCTGTTCGGAAGAGTGCACTCCATATTTTGCTCTTGACCTAGGTTAGAATTTGTGTGCATGAACGTTAATAACCTGACCCTTGTTGCTACGTTAAAAATCGTGAAACCGAATCTCATATCCGAAGGATGTGCACATTGGTCAATTTGGGAATGATTAATTCCAAAGGTTTCTGGTATGATCCACCCAGACTGTGCCATTTTTGGCTTCTGGTGGCAAATCCTCTGCATTGGAACTAGTTGGAGGCATTCTGGGCCTTGTACATTTGGTTCTCAAAAGAAAACTATTTTATGAATGAAGGCAAATATCTGTGTCCCAAAATAATGTTGCAGGATCCAAACTGGGTCAGTTACTGAATCCAGGGGCTTAGTCTTGTGAGTTTTCGGACTCTATGCATCGTATTTATGTGGTGCCTGTTGGGTGTGGCTTTCTATTAGTTAATTGGCATGTTAACGGCCAGCTACTAAATACCACTCATAGAATAGCCCAAAGCACATATTCTGGCAGAGAGAAATTCCCTGAAGATAGGCTGCAGCATGATTCCGAAAGCTCAGAAGACTAAACTTCTGATTCCTGTGACCGACCCAGACTGGATCCTGAAAACTATTTTTTTTTATTTTTGGAGTATTTTGAGAGAGTGATTAAAAAACACCCTCATAATTCTCTGCCATGCCTCTTTGCTTTAGTCATTTTTAAAAAAAGATTGAAATTCAGCCATCCGCAGCAATCCACTCTCATTTGTAAAATGAAAAGATCATAACTGTACGAAATAGTTCAAGGTGGATGTAAGGTATTCTCTTTAACCTTGTATTCCCTAAATTGAACGTGCAAGGCTGATGCTTGTTCATTTGCTAAGGGAAATTTTTCAGGGGTCCTGAATAATTTGGTGGTCTTTGCAAACTTGATTTCCAGTCTAATAATTTGTGTGTTCTCACCAAATACAACTGGACCTATATTTTCTGAAAACATTGTTAGGTGTTTCTGAATTCCTTAAGTGCTGGGAAGCTTTATGGGATACTTGCCCAAGACTCTACAAAAAGCAGAATGGTGTTTTGTATTCATTGAGTTTATTTGTAAACATTTAGTAGATCAGGTCTTTAGGTTCACTAACTTCTATAGTGATGTTATTGTTTTTCTAAATTTCCTACAAATTAACCCCCTGATCCCGGCCATAGTTTTCCACTAAAAGTGATAGCTGGTTCTGTTTTTAAAGGCGCTAATCATGTCTTATATCAGGCTATGCAGCAGAAAATAGGGAAAGAAAGGGTAGTTTTTTTCCAGAGTAGTATCTGCCTATTTAATGTGAGCTGTTAATCTCCATTTCTGTGATAAGATAATTGCCACAGCCATTCATCTTGCTCATACCACAGCCTATCCTTTATATAGAATCACTGACCTGAATAATGTTGTTGAATGATTATTTAATTTTATAGTACAATTATTGGTTAACTGTATCAGCAACAGTATTAACTCTGCAATAATGGTGGTTTAATCCATGGAAAAGGTCTGGGGGAGGGGGTAATAATAAAGATGTTTGATTCCCACAGATTTATTGAATTCCAGGATCCTTGCCAAAATCTGCTGTTGAGTCTGAACTTGATGGATCGTTTGGAGAATTACAGAAAGCTTTCTTCCAATTAGAGGAGGAAGATGCATCTTTGATTTCCACGGTATGATTTTATGCATAAAATACTGTAAAAACAAATTACATAATGCAGACTCTTATATAATATATAATGCTGATAAAGAATTGTAAGCATTTCCAGAGGAAAATAGAAATGTTAGCTTCCTAATATGGGCAATTTTTGACTGCTTGATTTATGCATTTTCTCTCTTATTTTTCTGTCTTCTCAATTCTGTGAACTGCCTTTCTATAAGTAGGGCTCTTGGCTTCTGATCAGAATAGCTCAATTTTGTCATTACCATTTAGGAATTTTGATTGGAGCCGATCAATTTCCATTCATTGAAGAATCTGGAATCTGTCATACATTACCCCAGTGAAATTTATGATAAATCAGAGATACTTACTGCATTATTCCATTGATTTATTAGAACAGGTGAACATAAGAAGATCAGAAGTGATTCTTTTTTATTTGCTAGTTTAATAAGTTTATTCCTTGCATTTGGCTATTATTTGTTTTAATTGTAGTTTGTTAAATAGGAGATAGGGATTATATAATATATAATGCTGATAAAGAATTGTAAGCATTTCCAGAGGAAAATAGAAATGTTAGCTTCCTGATATGGGCAATTTTTGACTGCTTGATTTAGCATTACACGTCATACTAACTGATGTGAGCTGATAAAGCATAAACTGCAAATAGAAAGAGGCTGATTTTAAAGCCAAAGCCAGATAAGTCCCATTATGGCTTAAGTGTAGTGCTGGAACTCAATCATCCAGCTTTTTACTATGTAACCACACCTTTCATTTTGATGTGGTCAGGTATTCAAGATAGATTAGGATATCATCTTTCCAGCTTCTGTCTGCCTGACCCAGATGTGACAACTCTTACTCACCATATTTTTGGGGGCAGTGGAAGCAATATTACTGTGCTGCAGACCTGGTTCAATCCCAGGAAAGGCCTGGCAATAATGAATTCTGCTTTGAATATTATTTGAGTGGATGTGGCATCCAGTAGTGGGATATTCACGATTCTGTATCACTAATAAGTGCTGGAGAAACTAAAAAGAATCTCTGAGGGAATAATTTATTTTTATTTCCTAAATAAAAAGGAGGGGGATAATTCAAAGCCTTTCAGGCAAGGCTCTTTTTGGAAGGAATCTCGTGTAAGGGAACTGTACTTTTCTCACACTAGTAAGAATGATCTAGATTCTCCAGAATGAAATCTGTCAGTTCTGCCTTTCTTAGCACTCATATTCAGGGCTCCTCTCTTTAGGCCAGCCCTGGGGGAAAAAAAAAAGAAGTCCCGTCTCACTCAGAAATGCAGAATTTAATAAATCTTGTGCTGGGTGTACACAGGAGTTAAGAAATGCTTAGTCACATAGCCTTGCCTTGAGAAGATGATTTTAATGAGAAACTCCCTCATTAAGCCAATGAAGCAGATTTCTAAAGACAAAGGTAAATTTATTGGGAAAGGAAAAATCTTAAAGGGAAGCAAGAATTGAACAAATTCCAAATAAAATCAATGCAAACAGTCTAGCTAGAGTAATTGAAGGTAGTCCTTGATTTACAATCATTTGTTTAGTGACCGTTCAAAATTACAGTGGCACTGAAAAAAATGCTGACAGTTTTTGACACAATTATTGCAGTACCTCATGATCATGTGTTCAAAATTGGGATGTTTGGCAACTGGCATGTATTGATGGCGGTTGCAGTGTCCCAGTGATCCCTTTTTGTGACCATCTGACAAGGAAATTCGATGGGGAAGCCAGGTTCACTTAACACTTGTGTTACTAACCAAGCAGTTTCAGTGATTCACTTAACAACTATGGCAGGAAAGGTCATAAAACGGGCAAAACTCAGTAGCTGTCTTGTTTAGAACAGACATTTTGGGCTCATTTGTGGTTGTAAGTCGAAGATCACCTGTACTAAAATTTTTGTTCGATCAGAGCCTTTCCTATCCTGATTCACTGAATTGACTTTTGTAGTCTCAGGCACTCCTGCGTTGGCATGATAGCCACCAATATTGCGGCAAAACTGGAGAGCCCACAGTGAAGAATTTATCTGGGAGCAAACGAGTTTGTCATACCAATGGAATCATCTACTATCCACAGGTAGGCCTCCGAATGGAAAAGAATATGGTCTAAAGCAGGGGTCGCCAACCTTTTGGACCTCAGGGACCACCAAACTCATAATTTTAGATCCCAGGAACCACTAACCGGTTCTGTGGGCGTGGCCTAATTTGTGAGTGTGGCTTGGTCATGTGACTGGCTGGACATGGCTTATATGTAAATATTATAAATATTTATATGTTGTGGCTCCGGGCTTGGATTCAGCTCCTGTGACTGATATGAGTTCAAGTGAAGAGGTTATGGCAGAACAATATGAACCGGCCTGGCTTACTGATTGGACTGATAACCAGGATGAGGAGATGGACATGACAAAGGACAACAGACCTGATGTATAAGAATTGTCAGGACCTTTGACCTCCTCTGGTTCCTTATCTGATCAACAGCCGGGAATGGCTGACAGGGAAGTTTTGAGAGAGTCTTCTAGTGGAGATGAGAACTTGGAAAATTTGTGGTTAAATGTAAAAAATAGAAGACGGTTGAAAAGGCAAAATCAGCTGAAGCGAATGAGAAGGGCAAGTCAGTAAATTAGCACGTTGCCTTAATGAGTATAAAAGGACACAGCTGGGCTGGTACATTTTGCCAGGAACAAAATAACTATTTGAGTGAAGACGTTACAGCAAAGAGCTCTGAGGCTGAAGATTTATTGCCAGGACTGGTTTGCCGGACAGAGTAAAGATTTATGCTGTGATTTCTGCCAGCCGTTATCTTGTAAGACTTCTTTCCGTTTGATTTAATTGTGAAACGGCTGCTTTCTGTTTTGTTCGTTTGAATTTCGAAGGGGAGTCATAACATTTATATAAATATTGAATTTTTATAAAAAAGGAGCAGCTTTTACCCAAAATCAGGCAAAGCAGGCAGATTGAGTTGCTCACAGAATCACAGATTCATTCAGAGATCTATCTATCTGCCACTGGCTAGCTTTGTCTGTCACATAAAATTTGTTTGCAAGCAAACTCACAAAATTAGCTCACAACACACCATGTATGTAAATATTGATTTTTTTATTTTAAAAAAGGACAACTTTTACCCAAAATCAGGCAAAGCAGGCAGATTGAGTTGCTCACAGAATCATTCAGTGATCTTATCTATCTGCCATCAGCTAGCTCAGTTTCTCAAATTTGCTTGCCGTGAATCTGCACTGAGTTTGCTTGCAAGCAAACCTTCAGTCCTAAGGGAGGTTTGGCTGTGCTGAGCCGAAGATCTAAAGACTAGCTAGAAAGCAAGAAATCCAACCGTTTCCTGCTTCCTTGCTAATAGCACAGCAGAACAGATGATGGTCGGAAAAAGGAAAAATAGCAATTTAGCAGGCAAGTTTACTGGGTAAGGAGTGAGTGGGTGGGTTGGGATCCCGCGGGCCATGTGGGCGGCGCAGCCTTGTGTTTCTGCGCAGCCTGGATTAATTGCTTTGTGGCGGGGGGTGCTCTGGGAGTGAGATTTCTCTGCGGCCCACCAAAATTTCCTCGTGGCCCACTGGTTGGCAACCGCTGCTCTAAAGCCATCCAGGCAGTCTGTGAGACTTGTCCACACTGGCAAAAGCTTTTTGGAAATACGTTTTTTTAAACACTAATTATGACTTATCCTTAGGATGATACTTGCAGAGGGAAAATTATTATTTTTTACTTTAAATTAAGGGTACTGGCTACGTTCCCCAATCTATTTAAAGCAAGTTTGAAGCCAATGTGTCACTTCTGTTGATCTCTAGAAATACTGGGAACATGCAGACAATTCGCTTTGTCAGTCAGTGCTTCTACCAGTGGGCAAATAACAGCATGAATTTCTCAGGGGTGCCAGTAGAATAAAAACCCTGTCACCTACTCCATCCAAAATGAAAATACATTGTGAGCTATCTTTCCCCACCATTTATAGCTTAGTTCATATTCTGTGAGTTGGCTTGTTATTACAATTAATTATAGCGTTGTAAAGCACTAAAAAGCGGTATATAAGTCTAAGTGCTATTGCTATAAGCAGAAAAACAAAACAGAAGTCCCTACACACAAACGGTTGATAAGAGGGGGAGCTGCCAAGTTGCCAGGCTACCTTTCTTGCCAGTATATTTAATTATCCCTGTTGGGTGTGATGTTGGAAAAACAGCATGTTGTGATTTCTGCAACCTTGTGTCTTTCCCAGTAGCTGAAAACCAGCTTACACAATACTGTGGTCTTTGGACTGAAGGAGAATGAATATATGTTTTAGATGATCAGGATGCTAAAAAGTGTATCACAAGGGGGTTACCTTGAAACCAGGAAACTGCTGGTGAACTAAAGCAAAGATTTCCAATAGTTGGAAAATTCTCTGTCTACAAGTTCTACAGAGCAGGTTTATAAATAGAACATTAAATGTGTTTTTATTTCAAGTAAATTACAGTGAACCTCTCAACATTTAGCTTTCAAAGCTAGCTAGTAACGTGCTCTCTTTAAGATCCAGATTAGATCCAAATTGGTTCCAAATTCGCAAAGCCCTTGTGTGGAGGTCCCCAAATAATATTTTGAAACAAAATACTTTGAATTCCTCAGCTTCTACTTGTCATCTCCATGAAAGAAAACGTGCAGAAGGAAATGAAATCCATTCTGAAAATAAATCCAGAAAGAATTTAATAATGTTCTTTAGACAGATAGGCTGGTGCTGTGAAATTTGAAGCAACAAACTCAAGGTATTGTTCTCAATATGTATTAAAAATATGAGGCATTTGGCTAGGTAGAACTAAACTTATTAGAGAAAAGTTCTTGACAGAAAGACAGTTCAGCTGCTTATCTCTAGGGGATTCAGTCCCTTATTGAATGTGCTTTTTTTCCTAACTGGAAAAACATATTTTATTGATATATTTATTTCTGCAATTTATAGGCCTTTTAGTTCCAACAAGGCTCTAAGCTGCCTACAGTAAGACAAAGTAAAACAGAAAAAAATTAAAAGAAGACAAAAGGAAACCGAAAGCCCACTTTCCTAACCACTGACACATTGAGGAAACAAACAACCTTGCCAGTCCCTATCAGTCCACAAAGCTTTATAGAATAGTCAGGACTTGTTGGTTTTCCTGAATGCCAGCAGAGTTGGTGCTGACGGAGGACACATATATAAGGGTTGAACATCTGTGCATGTCCCTGTATGTATTTCCATGGGTGTGTGTGTGTGTGGAATCGATCTCGCCTCATAGATTGATTTAATTCTTGCATTGTGAGGTATAGATAGTCCTCAACTTATGACCATAATTGAGCTTGAAATTACACTTGTAAGTTGTTGCAGTCATTAAGCGAGTTGCCATGTGACCAGACCGGCTTTGCAACAATTTTTTTGGTGGCAGTTGTTAAGCAGATGCTGGGGCCGTTATGGGTGCTTTTTGCGGGAAACGAAATAAACACCAGAAACTGGTTAAAAAAAAGTCAAAAATCATGGTCAATGTGATTAAGGGACACTGCAAACAGTTGAGCTGGTTGCCAAGCACCCAAAATGCAACCACGTAACCATGGGGGGGGGGGATGTATGTGCAGCCATTATAACTTTGAAATGGAAGCCTAAGTACCTTTTTGGGTGGTCCGTTGTAGCTTTGAGGACTTACCTGTATTCTCTGATCAGAACTTGTGTCCCTGTGGATGGATTTGGTAAAACATATAATGAGATATTAATTATAATTCAAGGCAGATAATACCACCTGATATTTTCACAATAAGCCTGTGAGGTGGGTTGGTCTGAGAGAGAATGTCTGGCCCAAAGTCACCCAGCTGGCTTTCATGCCTAAGGCAGGACTAGAACTCTCAGTCTCCTAGCTTCTAGATCATCAGCTTAACCGCTGCACAGGTATTTCATCTACTCTGATTGTCAGTCTTTTTTCTTTTTTCTTTAGCTAGCAATAGCTTTAAGGTTTAAGGATTAAGTCATCCTGTTATTTTGCTCTAAGGTAAATGTAAGTGAATACTATAATAGAAATCAAGTCTTGCTGGTCCCATATTTTACACTTGTGTTATTTTGTTCTGACTTGCAACTTCATGTGATAGCTGGTTAATATAATCATTGTTCTGATGTGTTTGTGCCTTTTTAGATGTCTCCGGTGGTTATTACATTGGTGTCCGATGGGAGTCGATGCCTTCTTGTACGGCAGGCATCATTTCCTAAAGGGATGTACAGTGCTTTGGCTGGCTTCTGTGACATGGGTAAGATAGCATGGCCACAGTATGTATTTTAATGATAGCCTCTAAGTTTAGCTTCAGTGGTAATTCACTCAAAGCAGAGATGATATATGAGCCTTAACTAACTAGCTCATTACGTTGCATGTAATTGCCATATTTTCAGACCTGGTCAAAGAAGTTAATGGATGTGTTGTATTTGTTCTGAAATGAATGTTAAGCAAAGGAAGAAATTAAGTCAGCACATCAAGTATCTTGATAAATTTAGAACTTAAGTAAATCAGAAATATTTGTGTTGGATTAGCCCTCTTCAATCTGATGCCCTTCAGATTTGATAGGCCTGCTACTTGCAGTTGTAACACAGGTTGAAACCAAAGTGGCTAGGAATTCTGGGAGTTCAATCCCAATACAGTATATGGATTGTGTTAGTCTCAATATATCTTCAGGACATTTGATTGGGGAGATAAGTTTTATTTTAGCCATTGGTTTTTAATAATTATTTAGCCTAGAAAGTAGGCATGATGTGGCTTATTTGGTGTCAGGGTTCTAGTATGGCCTAGTATGCTTTCTTCATTATTTATAGTTTGCAAACCATGATTTCTGGTTAGCATGTTCTATGAACCCAGCTTTTTTGATGCTTCAAAACACCAGAAATATTCTCCAAAATATAACCAGCCAATGGAGTGATGTCTTTATGAATTTAAAATTATTGTTATCTAAATTCTGAATTGTTTGATACAGCCTGCATTTACTCAACATGTTTAACTTGGTTGCTGAGTTAATTTGTTTTTTGAATGTGCTCTAACATATTGATTCATAAACTTACCAAATACAGTGAATTTGCTAAAGTAAAAATCTAACCATTACCTAATCCTGATCAATTTAGTATGCTGTGTTATAGTACCTGCCAGATCTTTACCTAACCTGTTGTAAGTTTATGAATATAGAATTCAAGTTATGTATTTGGTAATTTGAGGAAATCTATATTTATGACTCAAATCAAGCATCTTTACATGTAGCTTTTGGTTAGAACAACAAGAAGGACAATAATTGACAGGTTTTATATTAATTATAAAAATAAATTAAATATTTTTGTAAAAAACAAACCGGCTTTTAATTGCCATGTAACTAGCAGTGTTATTAGATATGTTTCTAGAAATTTATTTATTTAAAACATTTGTACAATATTTTAAACAATTATTTTTAATATTGTGTAGTTATTTTAAAACAACTCCGTTTGACTTACACGTAAACTGTTCATTAAGTATTTTTCTAGTTGGCCTTTCTGCTGACATGCAAGAGCTAGCTTGTGGCATTAAAAAAGAGAAAATGAAATGAAATACATTGTCTAAAATAAAGCAAAGTAATTTATAAGGGAGTTATGCTGATGTGGTGACAGACTTAATTCATTAAGCATGATCATGCTTTCATGAAATTTTGATGATTCTTGCATATGGACAATACTTGGTGTTGGATATGTCAACTCTACTGTCAGTAGATCGTATTCCATTTTTTTAAAAATCCTGATACTCCACTTTCATATTTCAGTAAGAGATTTTATACTTACGCTAGCAATGCTAAAGAAAAATACAGAGGTATTGGCTATGACAATGTCCTTCATATGTTTTCTGCTCCCAGGTGAGAGTCTAGAAGAGACAGTCCAACGAGAGGTTGCTGAAGAAGTAGGCCTAGAAGTGAAATCTCTTTGGTACTCTGCATCTCAGCACTGGCCGTTCCCAAACAGCATCCTCATGATAGCTTGTCATGCATTAGTGCATCCGCTACAGAGCAAAGTAAGAATGCTGGTAGAATCCTATTTTAATCTTATTTGATGCTAGTTTATAAATGAGAACCTAACCTAACCTTTCTTGAACTTGGCTCTCCCTAACCTGGTTCCTTTCAGATACAGTACATTCCTATAACTTTTTGGAACTTCTGAATGTTATAATTCTATGCATTTTGAGGCCACTGAGTTCCAAAACACCTGATAATCGTTATTCACTTTAGTTCTTTGATGTTTTATGAAACTGCTGAAAAACGATTCTGGATCAAGACTTTTCCCAACCCAACTTTTCTATCAATGCTGCCTAGTGAGCATATGATTGTAATAGATAGCTGTTGGCTTATTTCATGATCTTTTTCCTTGAAGAGAACACTTAATGTACATATCTTACACTGTAGCCTCTGTAGTATTTCTCTAAAGCAGATTATAGGCTGTTCTTCCATTGCATGTGGGGAAAGGAGCTTGAGACAATAAAGTCTTGCCTTCTGCTGAAACTGTGATGAAGATGACATTTGAAGTGAAGGCAGTGTTGTGTTCCTACTCCGTTTTAGTTGTAGCGATGGCTAGTGCCCTAATACACCTTCAATAGAAGACAACAATTTTTCAGTTTTGCTTTTATTTTCGATTATTTCATTTGCAGTGTACAATCAATACTCAAGAGCTTGAATCTGCCAAGTGGTTCAGCCATGAAGAAGTGGTGATGGCACTTCAACGGGAACCAAAGCCTTCTAAAGAAATGGATGACAGTACCTCATTTTGGGTGCCACCTAAACAAGCTATAGCTCGACGGTTAATCCAGGAATGGGTGAAACAGAAAACTTCTCCTTAGTTTTAAAAAATGTGAAGGGGGACGATGGTAACTTTATATCTGATGCCTTTTTTGCAGTAGTCTCCCATATTTTGTGGAGAAGGTATTGGTAAACCATTTGGCATGTTGTCTTGAAAATTCGTTGCTGTAGAAATTACTGAATGGATTTGGAACGAGAGGTTGATATCCCCATATAGTAGTAACATGCAGCAAGACCAGTCTAAACCTCTGTTCCTTTGGAAAATTAATAAGAATTGAGTGTATTCCTGGGATTTCTTAGGATTTCTTTTCCCATTTGTGGGCAAACCTGGCCCTTGAATTGCTTGATTGTTCCTGGAGGCATCTTGACCAATTAAGGTTGGGAGTAAAGTTAAAATTCTTGACCACTAGGGGACTATCTACGACCAATTTTGCCCTTATTAGGACTCATCAGGTCCACATAGTCATTGTAGTTAGTATTACTTTTACATAGTTGACTATCAGTTTGACTCTTCTTCCATCTTTTTAAACAGTTGCCTCCTATCTCTAAAAATAATGCAATGGTTTGTTAAATATAAATGTTTCCAAATTCCCTGTGAGAATTCGTGTGAACTTAAAGGATTTGGATGGGGGTGGAGGAAAGTTCATCATTTATATGTGAAAAGTTCCTAATTATACGCACAAAAGCAAAAAGGGGGAAAGCAAGCTGAAATTGGGGTGGGTGTTATATTTATCCAGCATATTTTACTGGATGAGCTAAAGATCTAAAGACTGCTTTCAGCTAACCTGTTAATTGTGCTTAGTTTTAACCACCTTCAGTTTCTTTTTGCTTTGATTTGTGGGTAGGGGCTAAAGGCAGCTTATTCAAGTAGGTTATTGTATACAAAAATAATAAATGATTCAATTCGGTAACCAAGTTAAAGTTGTGTAAATTCAGATAGAATATTGATTTAGTGTATTATATGGAGTTTACTGGAGCTTATGTGTTTTGGAGTGTAGATCCTAGCATTCTCTTATACAAGTAGTTCTCTACTTATTATTGGTTGCTTAGCAACTGTTTGAAGTTCCAATGGACCACCTTAGGGTTACTTACGTGGTAATCAGATTCAAAGTTCCAATTGCTGCCCTCCTCTCTGCAGTCATGTGATTGCATTTTGGGCACTTTGGCAACTGGCTAAAATGTATGGCCCATTTGCAGCATACTGAAGTCACGTGACCATGATTTGTGATATGTTTTACCAGAAACTGGGATTTACTTCCAGTTTCTAGCAAAAAAGAAAAAAATTCCATTGCAGATGATGGATTTGCTTAACGGCAACAGTGTTCATTTAATGGCTGTGATGATTTACTCAATGACTCCTTCAAAAAAAGGTAGCACAATTGGACATGGTCATATGATGACCCAGGTAACGACAACACGGGCTACAATTGTAATTTGGGGGTCAATTATGATAATAAATTGAGAACTATCTGTATTCTGAGGACTGAACACTACCGTTTTTCTTGGTCTCACTATTTTGTTTTCAATGAAATACATGAACTGTTGAAGCAGAAATCTCAGTTGGGGGGTATTGATACTGGGTTCAAATAGCAATACCGCTTAGATTTATATTCCGTCCCGTACTTCTTTACAGTATTCTCTTGGTGGTTTACAGAGTCAGCATATTGTCTCCAACAATCTGGGTCTTCATTTTATTGACCTCAGAAGGATGGAAGACTGAATCAACCTTGAGCAGATCAGGATCAAACTCCAGGCATTGGGCAGCGTTTGCCTGCAATACTGCGTTCTAACCATTGTACCACCATGGCTTCTTGGGAGTTGTTTTGTAAAATTGTGATGCTTCCAATTTTGCAAAACAACATATTTATTAAAAATGTCAGTTACATCCACATGCTTTCAAAGGTTGTCCACTCTTTGAGAAATTGTGGCTGATAAAACACCTGATTATCCTTTTGAACAGGAAGAAATGCTGCTTCTGTGATCTTTACCTTAGCAGTATTAGCTTCCTGTTTAATATTGCAGAGAGAACTTAGTTCTTAAAATGATTTATTTTTACCTAAAACCCCGAGGGTTATTGTCTTCCTTTCCTACTGTAAAAAACAAAACGCATGAGGCGGATTGAGGGAGGTTATGGAATTCTGATATCCCCCAGTTCTAAATTATGCTGCTAAACTGGGGAAAATGTACATATGCCAGGTCTACTTCTTTCCTATTTCCTGCTCATGTAATATTTTTAAGTTTTTCATAATATAATATTTGGATCTTTCATTCTCCAAGTTTTAGATCAATAAAAGAATTAGAAGAAAAAAAGGGGAATGGGGAGAAAGTGAAGAGTGTTGGTATAAATATAGCATTACTCAAAAGCTGGTTATTCCATTTGTGGATATTTTCAGGATAGGATTCATATGCCCATAATTTGCTTTAATCAAATGTTGTATGTGATACACATGCCAGCAGGAAAGAGGCTCTTTTGCAAGTAAAACATGGATGTGAAAATACTATCAATAAGCCAGTTGGAATTGTAATGATTGAAAGATGTGAGTTGGTCATTTAATTTTTGCATTTTTTTCTTACGTGAGTCTGACATAAAGCCAAAATCCAGATTTTGTCTAGGAGCTTTTGCTGATTATGCCAATATGAATTTTACAATTTCAACATCATATTTTTGTATTTGCTTTTCTCTGCAAAAAATCATTATTGAAATCAGTGGTGGGATGCAAATTTTTTTACTATTGGTTCTTTGGGTGTGGCTTGGTGGGCATGGCTTGATGATCATGTGACTGGGTGGGCATGGCTGGGTGGTCGCCTCGTTTGCCTGGCCTCTCTCTAGAGCTCTTCTGGTCTCTGTCTATTAATTTGTCTCCTACTACAGTGTCTGGTTGATTATCTAATGCCGTGATGGCGAACCTATGGCACGTGTGCCACAGGTAGCACGCAGAGCCATTTGTGCCAGCACTCAAGCTGTAGGCAGACTTACCTCACTGTGCATGCGCGTACCTCACAGCTGATTTTCGGCTGATTTGCAGCCTTTTTCGGCCTCCTAGAGGCTTGAGGAAGGCTTCTGCAGGCTTTGCAGGCTGAAAACTAGCCCCATTTAACCACTTCCTGTTTTTCTGACAATACCGGAAATGATGAAACGGGGCTAGTTTTCGGCCTGCAAAGCCTGCAGAAGCCTTCCTCAAACCTCTGGGAAGCCGAAAAAGGCCTCAAACCCACCGAAAATCAGCTATGAGGCGCAATGCAGGTAAGGGGGCGGCGGGGTGCATTTGGGTGGGTGGGGATTACACACGCATGTGTAGGGGGCAGGGAGGCGTGCGTTGCCTTCTGGTGCTGGCATGTGAGCGTGCAGGCGCATGCACAATTTTTGGCATAGGAGCCCAAAAAGCCACCCCGATCTAATGCCTGCCTGTACTTCTGAATCCGGAACTCCCATAGATTTTTAGCTCTATTATTCTCCACAATTTTCTGTGGAAACTCCTTGATGGCTGGCTGACGAATTCTGGGAGTTAAAAGTCCATGCATCTTTCAGCTGAGAGACACTGATCTACCCCTGGGTTCTATCTAGTGTGGTAAATCCATGCTTCTATGGATCTGGTGCTTAGTGCCTGTTCTTGTGCTGTTACGATCAATGATCAGTGCTGCCTTTTACACACACACCTCTTCAGGAATAATTATAAAAATGATGATTTCTCATTTCTTTACTAATAGTAGAAATAAAATAAGGAACCATAAATGTCACTTAAAGTTGGAACCTATATTTGGATTCTGATGCATATTTATCATTGTGAATGCTTTTGCAAAACAGTGGTTGGGAAGACTTGCCAGAGATAAGTTTACAAACCACATAACTTTTCTTTTTTTAAAAAACTATTGATTCCTTTACGTTTGTTTTTAAAGTAATCATAGCATTAACAGTACTGTAACATTCGTATTATGCATATCTATCTCTTGTGTATTTTACATTTATCTGTCATTTACTTATTTACCTTTCATTTTTTTTTCTATTTGTCTATTTTCCAGCCAATAAAACCACATTTCCCAAATTTTGTAATATTCCAACTCTTCTTTGTCTCTTAGTTATAGAATCAATTTGTCCATTTCAGCATAGTCCAATATTTTTGAATTATCAATTCGTTGGGGAGGGGGGTGTTACTGTGTTTTCAACATTGTGCATAAGATATTCTAGCCACCATTAATACCTGTAATACCATATACTGAATCTTTTTATCATGTTTCTTTTTCAATATTCCTAGTCTGGTTCAAATTCTATTTGTTCTTTGACAATTTCTTGTAACCATCGCCTTATTTTGGTCCAGTATTTTTGAGCTTCTGGACAAAACCACCACATATGACAGAAAGTACCTTGTCTCTTTTTACACTTCCAACATGCCGGGTTCATATTGGGATACATTTTCACCAATCTCCTTGGAGGTAGGTTCCATCGATAAAACATTTTGTATATATTTCCTTTGTATGCCTATGATCTTGTTAATTTATAATTCCTGTTCCAAATTTTTTCCCATTCTGCTAAATTTATGTTGTATTTTTGGTCCAGGCTATCATGCAGCCTTTTACAATTTCTTCTAACTTGACTTCTAATAAGTATTTATAAATGTTTGCAATATTTTTCTCATCAGGGCCTGTAAGAATTTTATCTAAATATTGCAGTTCTGTATAGATTTCATATTCTTCTATATCTTTTTTATGTCTATTCTGTAATTGGAGATATGGCCACCAGTCTATAGATATTCCTTGTTGTTTAAGTTTCTGATTCGATTTTAGTTTCCCCTGTTCATCTAAAACATCTTTATATTTCTCCATTTTACATAAAACCAAATTATTGGGATGTATCATGGCTTCCATTGTGGATAGCCATATCTGAATTTTCATATAGTGTCTCTTTCTAATTTTGTTCTAATATTGTATCACGGAGTCCCTAATCAAATGCCTATGGAAATAGGATTGTTTCTTGGTTTCTTTTTCCCATAGAAAGGTATGCCACTGCTTTTGTAAATCATGGCCCTCCACACTTAATATCCTTTTGTTATTTAAATTAACCCATTCTTTGGTCCAGATTAGGGCTGCTGCCTTATAATAAAGCTCCCAATCTGGGAGTTCAAAGCTGCCTCTGCCTCTACTATTCTGTAGCACTTTTATTTTTATTCTAATTTTTTTCCCCTAACCATATGAATTTTGCCACAATTTTGTTCATTTCTATAAAAAAAAATCTTTTAATTTTATGGGGATTGTTTGGAATAGATACAAAAATTTAGGTAGGATAGTCATTTTAATCGCTGCAATTCTCCCTAATAGTGATAATTGTAACTTCCCCCATAGTTCCAAATCTGCTTTTGTTTGTTGTAGGAGTTTCATATAGTTATTGTCTTTTATTGTTGTACATTTTGCAGTTAACCATATACCTAAATACTTGATTTTCTTTGTCGTTTGAAGTCCTATTGCTCTTTCTAATTCTTCTTTCTGCTGTTCTGTCAAATTCTTAGTTAACATTTTATTTTTTTGTCTATTAATTCTCAGTTGTACAGGTCAGAGAATCCAAAGCGTCGGCTGTCTCCTGCTTCCTTGCTTACAGACGGAATCAATCAAAGTTTAGTCCAGCCCCCTTTCCACTGCGCATG